AACTTTTATACCAAGTATTTTCTTTCAAAAATGATCTTAATTTTTATTTGGGTAAATGATAGAAAAAACACTTGACTTTCATATTTTTATTTATTTAGCCACTTTGCTATTTATTTTGTATTATTTAAACAATTATACATTTTTTGATAGTTAAAAAAAATCAGTTTTCCGGTTATGGTTTTGTTAGACGTAAAATACAGAAAGCACAATGTATCTTTACCATTTTATCTGTTTATGTAACGCCCCGTTCTAAGAGTAATTATTCATGGATCCCCGAGATCAAGAGTAAGGGCGTTTCGGTCTTTTATGGGCAATGAGATTTATTCGAGAAAGTTTCGGACCGGGTGTGTCGTTAGAAGCGTAGGGCTTCTCGCCACCTTTTCGTGGATATAAAGTCCGTCGGAAACGGACTTAGAATGAAGGAGTTATAACATTTTGAAGTTGTTGTCATTTATGGTCCCTTAATGGAAAAAGTTGTCGAAAAAGGGGCATGCATGCTTTTGGACACGCGTGGCTACGCCCAACGTAGCGAGTCTTTGGATCGCGGAGGTGTGAGGCGTACGCCTAGCGTACGTAAAGGTACGCCCAGCGTACGCAAAAGTTCATTAAACCCTAATTTGGGTTGAGCCACTATAAATAGAACATAATGGCTTCAACCCTAGCCCCCATATCAGCCTCCCTAACCTCAGAAGAAACCCTAGAACGTTCCAACCTCCATTTTTAGAGATCTTGGCCTTGAAAAGCTCATCTTGGTGGTTTTTAGCTTGGAAGAGAAAGGAAGAAGATTGGGAAGGGGGAACCTTGGAAGCTAGAGCTTATAGATCTGGGACAAGTGTTTCATTTCGGACCTCTTCAAGGTTAAAAGCTTTGAGCTTGATGAATAATCTCTTAGATCTCTCTTGGTACAATTTTATGGACTTTTTGGTCCCAAGAATGGACCTTTTTGGAGCAACTTCGATTTTGAGCTTGGGGTTGCCACCCTCAGAGCTAAAAGTGTCCCACAAGTAATAAAGTTGCAATCTTGATGGTCCCATGAGTTCATGCATGAGATTTAGCCCTTGTTATGGAAGTATGTTGTCACCTTATGAATTTGGGCTTATTTGGTGGGTTGCAAGTCACCAAGTTAGTGACTTTATGGGTTAAGACATGGAAAAGGACCAGGATCTGTAATGGTAGCTTGTAGATCTGAGTATTAAGCACTTATTGGGAAAAGGTCTTATTAGAGGTATTACGCTGAGTGTACGTGCAGGTACGCCCAGCGTACTCACCATTCTGCCTGTACGCTTAGCGTACATGGGGGTACCCCCCGCGTACTCTGTCTGTATGGATCATGAGTTTTTGGGCCGTGGTTTGGGGCATGTTTGGGTATTTGGGCCTTAGTGGGCCATCAGAAATCATATTATATGGGCCAAGGAATATATTTTGGGCTTAGGGTGAGACCCATTAAGGGATTGGGCCCAATGTAGTAAATCGGGCCATTAGTAGGTCACTAGTAGGCTTGAGAAGCTTACCTAGTGTTGGACCTTTCATATTATGGTGTTGGGCCTTAGTCATGAACCAGATTGGGTTAAGGGTAAAATGGTCAATTTACCCTTAGAAGGATATTGTTTTGGGCTAAGTGTTATTGTGGCATTGATAGTTCGGGAAGCTAGAGGAGCAGCAGTGCGAGGATTGTCAGATAGCAGCCAGAAGGGTACCAGCAGTGTTTCAGCAGTTCAAGGTGAGTTTTCCTCACTGTACTCAAGGGTCTAAGGCACCAAGGCCGGCCCTTTGAATTGTTGTTAGAGCTTGTTATATTATGTGATGATATGCTTGCTAGTATCTTGGTGGATAAGATAGTGATATGAGAGTATGCCTTTTGCCTAGTATCCTAGAGAGATGGATAATTGTATGATGGCTAGTTCTGTTAGATCAGCGCCCTGGTAGTTGGGTAGTGATTATTTATAGACCGGTAGTGGGTCTTGCATTATGTACGCTGGTAGGAGGATACCTGCGGGTTATGTATGTTGAGCAGTGGTAGAGGGTATTCCATCCCGGTAGGATGATAGGGCCCTAGTGTGCTAGTTCTGTAGAGTGTTATGTGGTTGCCTGATATGTCTGCATGTCTGCTAGATTAGATTGGCATTCCAACCCGATGGTTGTGGGCCAGGAGTATTCCATCCCGGTAGGATGATTGGACTCATAGTAGTTTGGCATTCCAACCTGATGGTTGAGGGGCCTGGGGTATTCCATTCCAAGGGATGATTGGACCTATAATAGTAGTAGTAGTTACTGTATGTATAGGAAGTGGGGCATTCCAACCCGATGGTTGTGGGCCAGGAGTATTCCATCCCGGTAGGATGATTGGACTCATAGTATGTTGGCATTCCAACCCCATGGTTGAGGGGCCTGGGGTATTCCATCCTAAGGGATGATTGGACCCATAGTAGCTATTGTTGTATGTATAGGTGTTTGGGCATTCCAACCCGATGGTTGTGGGCCGAGAGTATTCCATCCCGGTAGGATGATTGGGCTCGCGTTATGTAGGCATTCCAACCCAATGGTTGAGGTTCGGGGGTATTCCAACCGGAAGGTTGAATGGACCCGTAGTATGTTGTTCTTTGTTGTATGTGTATGTTTGTGTGTGTATGGGTACTTTGGGGGAAACTCACTAAGCTTTCAGGCTTACAGTTGTGGTTTATTGTTTCAGGTGCTTCAGGAGATCGTGGCAAGGCGAAGGCATGATCGTACCGCTCCTCATGTTTATGTTTTATGAGATATGGTTCTGGGGAAATACTCTGATGTTTAAACTGTTTTGAAAACAAGATGTATGAACATAATGGTTTTTGAATGAAATAAAATGTTTTAAATTGGTTGAAATTTTTGGTCGTTACAGTTTATCCATTAGATTATTATCGATTTATCCATTAAACTATTATTTTAATAATAAAAAAACAATAGTTTTTAACATCAGTAAAATGGTGACAATATATTTTGCTTTTTCAAAATTGGGTCACGTGGAAAATTGATTTTTATAAACTAAAAGATATAAAAATGTGTTGGTTAAAATCATTACAAAAAATAGTTAAGTGGCTAAATCAATTAATGTTGAAAGTAAATTGTAAGTTTTTTTTTTGTATTCTTCCTTTTTTGTATATAAATGAGTTTATTGTTTCTCATTGTTATTTTCTCTTATATGCAAGTTAAAACGGAAAAAAATGATGTTCGTATCTCGCATATGTTATTTGGATTTCAATTTTAAATATTTTAGATGTTAAGAGAGGAAGGTAGAATGGTTGGTTTAAACCTCGAAGAAAAAAAGACTTGTTACAGTGCAATGATGTTAAGATGTCTGATGCATAAAACTTATGAATCAACTTGATATAAATGAAACTTTATGTGTTTACCCAAACTCATACTTATCTAATCTACATCGGGCCTAACATCTTGCCTAAAGACCCATTCAATCCATTGTATCAGTTTATTTTTAGATTCAGCTTGACATGTATATTATTGCAAAACTAACATCATTGTCTTCAACGGCCCGAGATCAACATTTTAATGTGAAAGCTGAAAGAGAATATTGTAGACCTCATAATCAAAGTTTACCATTTTTTTTATTTGGCGAGAATTTAACCGCAATTACTTGCCGACTTAAAATAAAATTTTAAATCAATTTGATTTCATCCAGATTCTTTTCATTTATCATGGGATATAACATAATCATTATTTACTTTGATCAGTCAAGTTGATAGAGAGATATTGGATAAGTTGCATCATGTAAAGTCATATAGAGTGTGGGATGTTATTATGCACCAATATATCAAAGTAATTTGCTATTACTTGCATTTAGGCCTATACAAAACCCACAAATAACAATGTATTTTTTTTATCAATTTGTGTAACAAGCACTCCTAGATGCAAGTTTTTCTCTATATTCCATATTGGATATTATTATTAATGTACATTGATTCTGTCAAACTCAAGCACTAAGAGTTCATTTGCAATAAATTTATTGTTAATGAGAGTATTTTGCTTCATTTCTACAAATTTGGGAAGCTTAGGTACTCTCTATTCATTAATGACCAACAATAACCTCTAATAATTTTCAAGTTTTTTCTAACTTTCATCTTATTTTGTATACTAATATTACTAATTTGATTACAAAGTTTTAGAATATTAAGGCAACATACTTAGGGCGAGTAGCTATTGCGAACTCGTGGAAGCCTTAAGAGGGTCAAAAAACAGTAAGACTACCTATGTGCATAAGAGGTAATTAACCAGAGTTAAGAAAAAAAAAATCTTTTTTGAAATTGTTTTGTTGTTTTCATGAGTTGTTTGTTCTTTTCATTACAACATTGTAACAGGAATAGATGAATGTACTATGCTATAATCTGTTTGAAAGTACAATGTTATAATCTATTCTTTATTAAAGTATTATTCTTTTAACTTTTTCAAAATAGCAACATACATTTAGGATAATAGCTTGGTAATATTGAATGCTTTTGAAATTATTAGTTTACCAAAATTAGATATTATCAATTAAATACTATAAATTGGTAAAAAGAATTAAATCAGTAATTAATAACAAAACTTATCAAGGTTCCGCTAAAATAACTATTTGCAAATGTATTATTAATTATAAGTTCAATTTTAGAACTATTTTATTCTATCAACCGTATTGCATACAGGTTATAACCTAATATAACAATAATTAAAACTAATATAACAATAATTAAAACAAAGACTTAAACATGTTAGTTATACTTCTTTCCCAACAACCTCATAAAACTCTATATACTTTATCACTCAGTCATGGTCTTTGGTCTAAGTAGGTATTGTGTTTAAATCAAACCCAATCTGTTAGGTTAATAATATATTGGGCCTGAAGTGGGCCAACCCTATATCGACCTTAAATTTCATTACTTCATACTTCGTAGGAAATGGACAGATCAATAAACAACACTAAATGAAAAAAAAAAAAAAAAAAAAAAGGAGCCAAGTGTCATATCATATGATTACAACATGTTTCTCTATTGATTGCTTAACCCAATATAAAAAACCCAACATTCAGCATGTCTTCTTAAATCGGAAACGATTTAGCAAAAATCTGGAAAGAAACGATCCACAAGAGCAGTGATGAATGCACATATGAAAATTGAAGTAAATACATTTACATAAAGCTTTGGAAGCCATGCCAATATCTATCTTCATTCAGCTTCATTATATGCAACTAATCTTATTTTTTCCCCTTCATTCCTGCATTTCACAACATCAAATTAGTAAGGGATTCAACCGAAATTTAATATCAATTTTTGTTAAATAAAAATGGAGTATTTATTTAATTTTGGTTTCAAACCTTGAAGCGTTTTGCGCGTGCGTTATTTTGCGGATAACGAGGTACATACGGCTGATATCTATTAGCTTCACTTCTATTATAATTCCCAGCTGCAATTTTAGGCATTGACCTATTGTTGACTTCGCTTTGACTTGTAGCATTTCTAAATACGTCATCTTTGTCCCAATTGACCTCATAATCAGCCTTCAAACGAGATCCTTCCTGCAATCCAATCATAAATTCATAATTTAAAAAAATATATATATATTTCCCATTTTAGTAGCAAGTGGAATAAAAGAAAACAATGTTTGTTACCTTTTGTAATGATCTTCCACATAACACCTTCAAGGCCTTACAAAACTCGTTATGGTCATCAAATCGAACCAAAATCTTACATTGGAGGCCCGGAACTATGTCTTCATCATCTTCATCTGCATCTTTTCCTATACCATCATCTTCACCAACATCAAGATTCCTATTCAGAAATTTTGACAAAAGGAATTACTATAATATAATATCATATATATAAAGTAGATCAAAAAGAAATAAGTAAGAGAATGAAACTGATACTACAAAGGTGTATACCTTATCTTTCCTAATGCAGAAAAAATAGTATGAGTGACCAAAATTGAAGGCTTAGATGAAACTCTTGTCTCAGCAAACCAACGTGATGGAACTCCTCTTAGCACAATTGTGTCGGGTTCTCGTTTTCTACCCTTATAATAGCCTGTTCATTTATACATAAAGTTCAATGTTTTATTGTTAATTTAAGGTTAACTGTTTCACTGATCCTGCTATTTTGCTAGATTACAGTTGATGATTGTTTAGTCGAACATAACATCATTGATTCTTCATCAAAGTATATGTGTTAATGTTGATTAAACTTATGATTGCTTGGGAAATTATGAAACCGTAAGCATATATGTCTTCCCCTTATGTGAAGAGCACAGCTAGATCGAAAGATGATAATGGAAAATGGATACGAACCTCTATCTCCGCCACCAAAGGCAAAATTCTCCTCCCACTCTTTCCTCATTGCTTCAAAATCATCAGATTGCGGAATCTCAACAGTTAACCTAAACTTAACCCCAACAAGACTTAACTCAATTCCATCAATCTTCGCAACAACCGTCTTCTTCCACTCCCTAACCTTCTTTTCCTGATCTTCGGACGAGCTAGATAGAAAACCTAATTGACGAAGGAAAAGCTTACCACGAGCGACGGGATCCTCACGTTTGCGTTTATTGATGTCTTTGAATTTACGAACATGGAGGTCTTCTTCGGGAACAATGACGGAGAATGAGGATTTGAGGAAGTCGATTAAGGAGCGCTTGAGTTGCCATTCGTCGAGTGGTTTGACGGAGGCGTCGGCGCGGTGGACGGTGAGGTTAAGCTTGAAGCGGGGGACCAGGGAGAGGCCACTGTCTAGTTCTAGGGTTTCGGTGGGTAGGAGGGAGTCCGAAGATCGATTGTTGCTCATAGTGCGACTGTGTTTACTAGTTTCCTGTTCGTAGAATCAACGGAAGGAGACAAAGTCTACGGAGTTGCGATTTCAAGGTTTCCCGATTCCAACTTCATAATCAAACACAACCAAATCAGTTCAAAAACCTTTTGTCAAAAATTGTGATAAAAAGTATTAACATTTTTTCAAAAAAATGTGAAAAAGTATAACATTTTTGTATAGTCAAGGGTTTAAAAAAATTATGTCAAAAATTCTCACTTGTAATTGATTTAAAATTTAAAAAATAGTAGTGTTTCATAATTAAAAGTAGAAACAAGAACCATCTTGTGCTTACTAATGTGTATCTACACATTGCAAATCCGGCAACACTTGTCTCATCGCTCCCACGATCTTACATACGTTACTTAATAAAAACATTCATAAATTATATTCTCTTTATGACACATACAAAGAAAAATATGAGGTTTTTAGCATTAAAGGAAGCGGAAAAGAAGGAGATGAAGCAACGAACAAGTACGCGTTCGGCATGGAGCGTTTAGTAGTTTCTAGCTTCTAACTTTTGACAAAACGTTAATTTAAACAAAAAACTTTGTTTGACAGTACGAACGTTTAACTTTTAGTTTAAACAAATCGTTCCAAATCTAAAAGCTACTTCATGTAGGACGTGTTCGACAAAGGGGAAGGACAATGAAGTCGTGAAGGAAGCGATAGTTAGGTTAAAAAGAAACGAATGATGACAGTTTTATGGTTTTGGCTCACATAAACAACCCTTGATTAAAAAGCATAAGTTTATATATAAAATATTAAACTCACACCTATTTAATAGATCAAAAGGGTGTTAGAGACATACTTTATTCAAAGCAAATTAAAAGTACATGGATGAAATTGGCAATAAAAATCTTTCAATAACATATTATACTTTGCATATAAGCTTGTGGACGGTGGTGGCTGTCGATGCCAACAAATAAATACCCTAAATCTTGCATACTAAAATAACGTATAATAATTGAATCAACAAGGATTGGATCAATTAGTAATTGTATGAAAATCTATTTGTAAAAATACCTATAAAAACACCATGAGAATACAAATGGGAATTTTAATCTTTTTGTTATAAATCTAATTTTAACTATTACAAGTGAAACACAAATTAAGCTAGTACAAGATGTAAATCAATATAGAGGGAATTGTTGATATTGGAATTTCATCATTTGAATATTTGGTCAAATAATAACTAGAACTCAATGTGTAATACTTGTACTGAATTTTAAATTTGACTACAGTAATCCAAGCCGCTTGAATTAGTTAGACTCTTTGTAATTAGTATAATGGCTAGAGAAACGCATAACATATTTTCTTAGTTAAAGTCACAAATCAATGAAATATATAATCTGAGAAAACCAACGAGCATTAAGGTTTAAGAGTCACCAAATCCAAAAGATAATCAACATGCTTTTCATTAACATTATGGAGGAAATACTTCCTTTACTTGAGTGAAATGAACACAAACACATAAATCAATTGTTGCTTGTTAATTTGAAAATATATTAATTAACCAAGAAATTAACCAACAAACATAATATTTGTACACCTAAACTCATGATTAAAGATATGTAATAATAAAAGGAAGTTTTACTAGAAAATACTTTCATAGAGATTCAAACTCAAGTTCTTAAAATTCTTCAAAATAAACCAAACATCCAAAGATTACATCCAAGTCAACCAATATTAAATTAGCCTAACATTGCTAACCTTAAACAAAAGTAAAAGTGTTTAGATATACCAAACATTAAGCAATGAAATGAGATGAAAAGATTTGAATCTTTAAGTGTTCTTCAAGCCTTCAAATTAACTCTCCCAAAAACTCCAAAGAAAACTCCTAAAATATGGTCTCCAAGATGTGTCAAAAGATCCCCACCAAACTTTATCATATAGCCATCAAACATGAAATTTCGAAAATGCCACTGCACGAGCCACGCGACCACGTGAGTTGTAGAATACAATGTCACGTGACCTCGTGAGTTTGGTTGAACGAGAATTTTGCATGACTTGTCTCTTTTTCCTTTTTTATCTTCTTGTATTATAGTTTTGACTTCATTTGACTCCATTTGAGCCCAAATGCCACATTACTTAGCCCATAACAAATAAATACAAGTCCAAAAACTCCATGGTCCAAAATCTTCATCCAAAGATCTATAATTTTCATAGCTCTTCTGATTCCATCTTCTAATCCATCAAGTCTAACCTGCTTCAATTAAACTCCATATCTTATATCCTCAACTATATTAAGCTCTATGCACTCTAGTCTCTAATCCAACTCTTATTAATAGGCCCCAACAATCCCCGATTGATCCACACCAGCTTTGTTTGTCTTCCATATCTTCCCCGTTTCACTCTAGTTTTCTAAGGTGTTGTTTGTTTTTTCGAAACGAAAATTCATGAAATTTGCATACCACATCTGCTACCCTATGCAGCAGAAGAGGTGTACCAAACGGTTGCAGCCAATAATAAGAAGCATGTTTGTTTTTTAATATCTGCAGGCTGCTGCAATAAACTGAAATTTAAATAAACTGATTTTACAAACTGAAAATAGTTCTCAACACTGAAATATTAATAATTATAGTCTTAAAACATTGAAAGAATACTAAAAAGAACATGTAAAAAAATAAAAATATAAAATTTCTAAAAAAATCTAAAAGAAACTATCAGTTTTTTCTAGAAAAAAATTAATTTTAAAGAACATAAAAAAAATTATAAAAAAATAAGAAAATAATGCAAAAAATGTCTAGGAATTTTGTAAAAGAATCACACATGTTAAAAAAGATGCAACCGGAACTGAAAATATTATTAAAAAAAACGATAAAAAAATTTAAAAAAAATTAAAGTTTTTTCAGAAAAAATCAATTTATAAAAAATTGTGGAAACTATAAAAAGAAATTGCATCAAATCTGTAAGTCAAAGTTTATAAAAAAAATCAAAATTTAAATAAAAACCGAAGTTTAAAAAAAATCAAGTTATACCAAATTTCTAAAAAAAATCACTTAGAAAAAATAAAAGCTGAAGAGGTTTTAAGAGACAAGTCAAGTGTTGCGCCACATAGAATACGCACAGATGTTTTGTAGTTTGAAGCCTTCCAAGAAACAAACTGCTGTGAGATGACAAATGTTGCGCGTGTGCTGTGTCACGTAACAAAAAATGATTTGAAGAGGTTTTTCTAAAAAAACAAACAACCTCTAAAATTCTGCAAGTAAGCATAAAAACTAGAAAGTACCCAAAATAAATATAAAATAACAAAAGTAAAATATGGATGTAGATTAACTAAAAATAAAACAAAATATGCTAAAATCTACTGTAATAAATAAATGTTTTTTTTTGTCACATGTCACACTCTTATTCAATTTGCCAAATATCATTTTATGATTATCTTGAATTATTTTTTTTTCAAATGTCATTTTATGAGTTTTTCTATTTTATTAAGTTCCACATAATATTTTAATGTAAAAGTTACAATAAATGTATAATAAATTGATATCAATTTCATTAATCAACTTACCTTTTAATTTTTAAAATTTTCAAAATTAAAGCTCATTAGTTTCTTTTGTTTATTTATTTAAATTATTTGTTTAAATTTAAAAGATAAAAAACATTTCCATTATAATAATTTATTATTTTTTTTTTATTTTCTTATAAATTCAAAGTTTTCAAATATTTTGATCTTTATATTTAACTTTTTTTTAAATTAACTCACGTAATATATGAGTCTCACAACTAGTAAATAAAATACATCCATCGGACGATATTTGTAATGTACTCTAAAAATTACAAAATTGTTCCACCTAACTCCATTTTTTTTATAAATTCCCACTCAACATTAGTACTACTAATTCATTGAACATTTGTATTAAATTTTCACCTAACATCTTATGTTTTTTTTGGAATGACAATCTATTTTACTTCTAAACTACTCCTAAATCCACGTATGTCTCTAACAACACTTAAACTATCAATATAAGAACATGGTTCTTGGCCCTATCTATAGAAAATGTCCCCCTTCTATCTTTCAATCGATTTCTTAATTTAACAATAGCACTCAATCTCCATGTGACACCATCTTGGTTTCGCATCCATGTTTTAATCTTCGTTCTTAAGATCATCATCATATCCATCAAATTCGAAATTCAGAACAATAGGCTCACCTTAACAATCAGCTTAGAAGAATCCAAAACGCCGTTTGACACCCCCAACAAACTCCATTTGTCTTTTTTCTCTCACAATCTCGGAATCTCCCATTGCGTTATGCTTTAGAAAAATCATATTTTACTGCCAATTGCTTTCAAAAGCATATTTTAGTGCCACATGTAACTTGTTTGGTCAGCATAGCAAGAAATAAAAGAAATGGTTGAACAATAAGCTCCGAGGTCCACTCAAAGTGGTGCTAGATAATTAATATAAGCTAAAGACAAGTTTAGCCAATATAGTTATAAAATTCTTCCTTTATTGTTAGGAAACACTTTTGAGATATTAATTGTTTTTAGGTTATCAGAACCTATTCTTCCAACCTAAGAGTTTAGACTTTTAACATTTTTTTTAACAACTGAATAAGTTTATGAAGGCTAATAAGAAAATAAAATACAGGAACATAAAAAAAAGCATTACAAAAGAACAGATTAATAATTTCTACCATTCTACCAATAGCTTATACGTTTAAAAAAATAAGACAAGATTACGTAAATGGTCCCTATTAATTACCAAAGGTCGGTCTTTTTTATTTTTTTTGACAAACATAGTTCGTGTGGTTTTTAAAACTTACACAGTTGGTTCTTGAGCCACAAAGAATGACTTACTTCTTTTTTTTAATTTCTTTCATCCATTTTTTAAAACTTATTTATGATTTTTATTAATGTTAATTTAAGGGCACACCTAGGGATGAACGTTGGAATATGACCGAAATCGGAACCTGTATTGCAATATTACAAGAATCGGTAACCGGACTGCCGGTTCCAATGTCGGTTCCAGTCCCGGTTTTTTGGATATTTTTCCAAACAAGAACGGGTTATAAATAAGTTGTCTTCCAAAAAAACATAATATTCAATAATCAAGTTTCAAAAAAACATAATATTCAAAAAACAAAC